AGTCAAGGCCACCAACTACCTGGCCTGTATGAACCGATACCAATACACTCTTTGGGAACGGTTCTCAGAACTCCTCAGTCACCTACCAGATGACAAACTGCAAGCTGCCAGAGTCATACAGAAAGAGGGCATGTTATTGGCAAAACAACAGCTCAACACAACCAAACATGTCCTCGAGGCGTCTTCATGACAAATGGCTTCTGCAATAGCACTCAGAAGACATTCCTGGCTCCGTAACACTAGCCTGCCAATGGACACTAGATCTTACATGGAAGACCTACCTTTCGATGGTCTGGAATTCTTCAGTGCCACCACCGACTCTGCTCTACAAGAGCTCGATAAGAGTATAAAGGCGTCCCGGGCTCAAGGGGTCTCATCCTCAGTCTCGTCCTCTGCAAAACAACAACAATACCGTCCCTGCACCTGGTCAAGGTCCTGGCACAGACGTACCCTAACTCATCAGTCTCCGGACACACGATGGAGGCCGCGAACGTCTTTGGGAGGCCAAAGATCCGCCTTTCAGAAACCAAAATTCGGTTCCGGGCAACAAACTTCCCGCGCCAAACAGTCCAAACCCTCCAATCAGGGTTTTTGACTTCCCAGTCACCAAGTCAGCTCCTACCCATCCGTTTCCATTTCTTCACGCTTGACGTCGCATCACCTCGGACGAGTGGGTGCTCTCCATCTTGACCCGAGGTTACAAAATTCAGTTCCATCAGAACCCCAATACCCCTGTCGTCGTCTCCACGCCCCCTTCCCCACCTCTCCTCGAGGAGATGTCCGTCCTTCTGCAGAAGGGAGCCATAGAACATGTACCACCACATCTCCACGGGACGGGATTTTATTCCCGATACTTCACAGTCCCGAAGAGAAAAGGAGGTGTTTGACCCATATTAGATCTCAGGGAGTTGAATCTTTTCGTGCTTTACCACCACTTCCTCATGGTCTCGCTTCAACAGGTCATGCCATTGCTTCGCAGATACGTTTGGATGGCAACCCTCGACCTCCAAGACGCGTATTTCCACTTCCACCGCCAATACCTACGCTTTGCTATTGGTCACCAGCACTTCCAGTATATGGCCCTTCCATTCGGCCTTTCCAGTGCCCCAAGAGTCTTTACGAAGACCATGATTATGGTTGCGGCTTTCCTCCGTCTACAGGGTATTGCGATCTACCCCTACATAGACGATTGGCTTCTGGTGGCGCCTTCCAAAACCGCCCTAATCTCAAACGTCGCAGAGACTTTGACACTATTGGAGAATCTGGGCCTTCAGGTCAACAGGCAAAAATCTCACTTGTGTCCATTCCAGCGCATACAGTATATCGATGCAATCCTGGATTCACAGACATGCATGGCTTACCTGCCCAATGACAGGGCATTAGATATCATTTCCCTGGCCACCGTCGTCCAAACCCACCCTTCCATCACGGCCTTCACAATTCAGCGGCTGCTCGGGCTAATGGCGGCAACTATGTCTGTCCTTGTCTTTGTGAGACTCAAAATGCGTCCCTTGCAACTATGGTTCATTCACCACTACAACCTGTCCAGAAACGCACACACTCATTCTATCCCCTCCTCCCAGCGTACAGGACTCTTTAATCTGGTGGACTGTCCCTGCCAATATCCTTCAGGGAACACCCTTTCACCCCCCTGTCACCAGAGGTCACAATAACCACAGATGCTTCCTTGATGGGATGGGGTGCACACTCCATGGGACTGTCTGTCGGAGACAAATGGGATGCACAGACAAGGAGAAAACACATAAACTTCCTCAAACTCCTAGCCATACGACACGCCGTCACCTCTTTCCTCCCCTTACTCAAGGGAAAATTTGTCATGGTCCTGACAGACAACACCACAGCACTGTCGTATATCAACAGGCAGGGAGGCACAATGTCCCAACGCCTATGCAACCTGGCCATCCAGTTGTGGGAGTTGTGCATCGACGATGACATATTTCTCGTGGCCACTCACATCCCGGGCTACATGAACGTGCAGGCAGACCATCTAAGTCGAGCCAGACTCAGCCTACACGAGTGGGGGATGAATCCAAAATACCTCCTCCCACTCTTCCACAAGTGGGGGACTCCCCTAGTCGATGTCTTAGCGACCAGAACCAACAAAAAATATCATCTCTTCTGCAGTCGAGGAGGCAATCACCCACAATCTCTGGGAGATGGCCTCCTCTACCCTTGGTCATCAGGGCTCCATTACCTGTACCCACCCTTACCTCTGCTTCTGAGAGTGGTACGCAAGATTCTCAGGGAAGCTGCAGACTGTATCCTAATAACACCATGGTGGCCAAAACAGCCTTGGTTTTCAATGGTCCTCGAGCTTTCACGGGGAATATACCATCAGTTCCCCCCGGCCCCGGACCTCCTCCTGCTCTCAGACTCCCCCCTCCTCCATCACAACATACCACAATTGAAACTGACAGCATGGCAGGTAACATCACAGGCTTCTCCTCCCGTGTAGTTAACATCCTGAATTCAAGGAAACCCACTACACGGAAGTCCTATACTTATAAATGGAAGAAGTTCTGCTCTTTCCTCGGTGAGGACGCCACTCGAGACACCTCAGCTGGCCTCGACAGAGTTTTTCGTTTCCTCCTCTCCTTAGCTGACTCGGGACTTTCCCACTCTTCGTTGAAAGTTTATTTGGCCGCTCTTTCGGCTTACCATGTTCCAGTTGAAGGATGTACTTTGTTTTCACATCCGATTTCAAACAGGTTTTTAAAAGGTTTGCTTCACCTTTACCCTCCTGTTAAAACTCCAGTTACTCCATGGGACCTTCCTCTAGTTCTACGCCAGCTGA